AATTCAATAATCTCACGGTTTCTTGTTCAAAAATACAGTAAATCAAATAAATTCTCAGTGTCATAACATAAACGTGAAATAAATCAGGAAAAGTAAAAAAAAGCCACCTACCTACAGGATTATTGTCTATTGTAGGAATTGCTTCACCTCGGCATTTAACTAGTAAATGACGAAAGAATTGTACGAGAAGAGGAACGAAAATACCGAGTATTGTTGTAAGACCACCAATGAGGCTGACCAGAATCGTCAGTGCATAAAGAAAATTACCACGTTGTGTATCGGTGTAAGAACATGTTTTCGGATGGCATGCATTGTAGTAACTAGTGAAATTACTCGAATTCTGCCACGTTTCAACGAAGAGTTGTTCGAACATGGTATTTACGGTTGTATTGGCTCGAAAGCGCGATGAAACAGTCGCATTGAGTGGGATGATCGCTTGTGAGACACTAATGAGATCGAGACATGAACGATTGTAAAAACATTCTAGTGTCGACTGAAGTATTGCATCGCGAGGCAAGCATCCAATCAACATGCCAGGCACGACAAACATAGGTGGTGGCGAGGGCTTATACACGGTGCTCTCATTTTGTGAAGGACGAATGGAATAATTGTAGAAACCAGCTTGAAAAGTACAGTTTGACGTGAAGGTACAATGGCAATATACACTGAACGGATTCGAGGCGTTGCCGATAATATAATTCTCAACCAGGTAGGCTCCCAGTTTGGTAGTGTAACCCGACACTGATGGATTATTGATGAGGTAAGAGTTGGTATTCAAAGCTGACATAATTCCGCTGTTGAAAATAACCAGAGACACTAGCTGATCGGTGTATTTCACATTTGCTACTGTTGTGGTTTGCATTTGTTCGACAAGTGCTACAACTTGAGCATCGAATACCTCACGTGATAGAGCTTGATTGGTAGCCAGTTGTTGAGTCAGAAATTGATTGAGATCACTACTAATAGTCCATGCTGCTGTTTGACACAGAGATGCTAAGACCTGAAACTGGGACATAGCCATCAGACGAAAATCTAACGGATGAAATCTAGACATATTGATGTTGAATAGTGTTGAAATGAACTGTTGAGAGATAAATTGGCTTGAATACACTTGATGATAACGTGGGTCGAATAACATAAATTGATCATAGCGAATATTGTTTTGTGAACAAGGACAAACGAGAGTATTCGCATACTCATCGTTCAGATGTTCAAATTGATTGAGCGAAGGTGATGTGACACTTACGACGTGTGTTTGCATTCTCAACGTACCAAACAACGTGACAATGATAACTGAGATATTCAGAAGAATAATGAACAATCGAGTTGCTAATAATTGATCATTGACTGTTAAAGAGTTATCGGTTTCGTACAAGTTAAACTTGCCGAGCGATACATAAAGACGCTTCCAAATCATCATTGTAAAACTCAGTACTATAATTATTTTTCAAGAATCCATCCTCTTTAAATATAGTCGTACGACAATGTTGACTTCGAGCACTACGATTCAGAATAGTTGTAAGGCTTGCTTTAATTTATTGTAAGAGGAAACATGCTACAAGAAAAAGATACATTCAAAAATCAAGCAAATATTGAATCGTATTTTCCAACTGAGGCTGTGAGTGGGTGGCTGCGGGTGACGAAGAGACGCACACACAGTACACCTTCAAGATGGCAGTATAACTGGCTTAGAGTACCGATCCGGATAGCAAAAGGTGTCAGTTAGAGTCAGACAAAGGTTATCTTTTTCTTCATTTATGCGTATATGTTATCTTTTCTTTCCTATCCGTTCCTTTTCGGTCAATGAGCCATATTAATATTTATAAAATCCTGTATAAAAACTTATCACAGCATTTTCTGAATGAATATTAGATATATGTTGTTCCTACAAATACTTTATCCTGGTCGTAGAATATTCTAACTTAAGCATTAGTATTATCGTATCTGTTTGTAACCGTCAAGTTTTGGATATAACGACTTACTAGAAATTTTTCTATGGATTTTCGAAACTTTGACCGTAAATAAAAATGTCGAAAGATATACTTGTCGAAAATGATAGTATGTGACAGGAGAAGTTTCTTTCACATTCTTATTTCTGTTTTCAACATTTTCCCTGTTGATCAAAGTTGGATCTATAAAAAAGTATGAAAAATGTCAATAGTAGTGTTCATTCACTTTTCATACAAAACAATGAGAAGTAATTATATAAAGAAAAAATATACAAAAAAAAATATCTGACAACTACAAATGCAATTATTACTAAAATGACGTATGAGAAATACAAATATTCAGTTGTGCCGTCCACAATTTCTTCCCGCTGGAAAAAAGAGCGCTTGGGTGAATAGAAAAGTGAGCAAAATGTTTTAAACACAAATAATAATAATAATAAAATAATTTAGTTTCATGACAATTTATATAATAGAAAAAAAAATTATTAAATCGAGTTTTTCAAGTGAAAACTGAAGTTATTTACATGTAATCGAGAAATTTCCAAGAATATTTGATGTTGTGATGTCGACTTAGTGTATAAAAACACAATATGAATCCATATAAAGGCTTCCAGTTGCGTAATATGAATAATTCACATCGAATCATAGCTCATGTAAGAGATTCATATATAAATGGATGACTGCAAGAAAGGATCGCTCACTTCTAAATTGCTCAGAAAGATTAAAAACATTGTTATAACGTAAATAATTAGAAAAAGAAACAAGCTGTTTCATATATGGTCTTCATCAATTTCCGATTGAGAAAAAATATTAATGAACAACGCTATTTTATTATAGGTGCCACAATATCTTTTCAGCTGTTAGATACACTTTAACAGTTTAGGAATTAATGAATAATTATGAGAGAGAAACTTATATTTTTAAAAATGCAAAAGCATTGAAAGATTTATTAAAGAATATAATTATCAATAAAAATCTTGTTTATTATTACAAATCAGAGTTTTTTTTAGTTAGATACTACTGTTTATTAAACATTTCTAAACTTCTAGTTGCTTATTTTAGATTTCTGTTACTACTATAAGTCACATTACAATCATTAATTCAACGATCGCTTAAATCTCATGAAATAATTGTTAGTTTTCAATTTGCATCATGCAATGTAATTTTCTTTTAAATATGTCTCCTTCAATTTGAATTTGTTTTTAAGTATACTGATTTTATTCTATTTATTCCAAAACCTTTTGAACAAATAATTAGTTTTAACGTCAACACTATATTACATGTTGAATTATATATGCTTTGCTAGTTTACTATAAAATAATCAAAGAACTCAGCGTGATTATTTATATTTTTCATTAACAGGAAAGTAGATAAAATCTAGATGTATCACTTTAACTTCATTTTCAAAGTTATAAGTAGAGCAAGATTTTAATTTTTCTGTATTTAGATTTCTTTGTCCAAGCGACTATTTTTCTTTT